TTTCGAATGGGTTGGCTGCGCGCCGCATTGTCTCACGGACGACAAAAGTACTCCGCTCCTCGCTCGCCGAGGTCAGCGTTGAACCGCCTTCGGCGGTCCAACGCTGACCTCGGCTCGCTCGTCGCTACGCAAAAACAGCGAGTCTACACCGAGCGGCCTGTGTACGCGTCGACGCGCACCTGTGCGCCATGATCAAGCGCGCGTGGGACCGGGGCGTCCCCGTGTGGGTCCTCATGCTCGCGGTGCTCGGCGGCGTCGCAATCTTCGACAGCATCTTCCTTCGACGGTCGTTGCCCCTGAGCGAGCCGTCGGGCGAGGCGCCGGACGCCGCGCCGCCGGCCGTCGAACGCGAGGCGGCGCCGGCGGTCTGGTACGAGAAGACCACCGCCGGAGAGCAACGGGCGACAAAGGGAACGCTCGACTGGGGAGCCCTCGAGCGCCTCGGCGATCTTCGCGAGGCGGCGGCCGAAACGCGCGCGGGGCCCCGCGACTCCTCCGCGCGGGCCGAGGCGCCGAACGCCTTCCTCGCGCCCGCGGACACGCTGAAGCCGCCGTCGCAGAAGGTCCTCGCGGAAATCGCCGCGCGGCGCCAGGCGGCGCTCGACGAGCGGCGCGACGCGAAGATCGCCGCGAAGCTCGAGGCGAAACCGCCGTCGGAGAAGCGCCTCGCGATCGCGAGCGAGGACAAGCGGCGCGACGCGAAGATCGCCGCGGCGCGCGAGGCGAAACCGCCGTCGGAGAAGCGCCTCGCGATCGCGAGCGAGGACAAGCGGCGCCACGCGAAGATCGCGAAGGCGCTCGAGGCGAAACCGTCGCGGCTCCCGCGGCCCGCGGCCTTTAACAGCGACCCGGCGCAGGCCGCGCCGCTCGCGGGGCGGACGCCCACGGCGCCCGTGCCGTCGGACGACGCGGCCTGGGCGACGGCGCTCAAGCCCATGTGGGGCTTCGAGCACGATCCCCGCGCCGACGTCGTCATGGCGCTCGGCTTCGGCTACGCGCGGACGGAGTTCGCGCGCTTCGTGTCCACGTTGCGCGCGACGGACTACGCCGGCGACATCGTCCTCGCCGCGGGGCCGCCGGAGAAGTTTCGCAACGGCGTCGAAGCCTACCTCAAGGGCGAAGGCGTGTTAGCGTACCAGTTCACCTACGAGTGCTACAAGAAGAAGCGCGGCGGGCGGCGGCTGCTGGCGACGCCCGCGGGCTGCGTCCTGACGAACTGGTACGCGGGCGGCGACGCGCGGGGCCCGCGGCCGCTGGCGGTGGCGCGCTACGAGATGTACCGCGCGTGGCTGGCGAACTACGACGAGGCGAGCTGGGCCTTCGTCTTCGACTTCCGCGACGTCTTCTTCCAGCGGGACCCGTTCCCCCTCGTCGACCGGTCGCCGTCCGCGCCGAACCTGCACCTCTTCGCGGAGAACCGGGACGTGAAGACCGTCGGCACGTGCCGCTTCAACTCCGCCTGGCTCAACTGCTGGGACCGCACCCTGAAGCAGGTCTACCACAACGCGAGCGTCATGTGCTCGGGGTCGACGCTGGGCTCCGTGCCGGCGATGAAGCGCTACGCGGAGCGGATGCTCGCGGAGATGGACCGCATGGCGTGCTGGGCGACGAAGGCCGCCACGGAGAGCGACCAGGGCTACCACAACTTCCTCTACCACACGGGGGAGCTCGCCGCGCTGCCCGGGGTCCGCGTCGCGCACCACGAGCAGGGCCGCGGCCTCGTGAACACCATCGGCGCGATGAACGGCTTCCGCGTGCCCGCGCACAAGAAGGGGCCCCTGGACACGTTCTGGAAGATCAAGGACGCCGACGGCTACATCCTCGACTGGGACGGCCAGTACTCGGCCGTCGTCCACCAGTGGGACCGCTTCGGGAAGGAGGTCGTGGGCCACATCGACCGGCTCGCGCGCGCCTACGCCAAGGCGAAGCGCGGCGCTGAGGGCGAGGACGGGGCGACGGCGACCGGCCGCGACGACATTCGCTTCGCGACCGCGCGCGACGCGGCCCCCGGCCGCGGCGACGTCCCGCGAGAACGTCCGATCCACGACGCGCGGCAACGGCAGCACGGCCGGGGCCGCGGCCGCCGCGGCGACCGCCCTCCTCGGCGCGAGGGCGATGCTTTCTAGAGTAATGGACGGTTCGGTGTTGACTTCGAACGTCGACGTTTCGCCTTGGTTTTCAGCGAGCATAGATTTTTTGCCGCTGTCGCACTTTGTCCTGAGGGGGCGCACAGGAGCCTCGCGGCGCTCCTCCGCCGTGCCACGCGGCGCACGCCTCGTCGGCCTAATGCGGCAATGGATCGCGCTCTTATTTTGCGTCACGGCCGCCCAACACGAGTCGTGGTCGAAGCAGTGGCGCTGCACGGATCGCGACAACGAGACGGCCTGCCTCGACGTGTCGACGTGCAGAAAGGGCGCCGCGCGAAGGCGAGCGATCGTCTCGGTCTTCGACGCGCACGTGGCCCTCCCGCGCTCCGCCGTAGCCCTGAAGGCGACGGTCGCGGCCGCCGCGCGCCGCGCCGGCGCGGAGTGCGTCTTTTTGTTGCCGGCGGAGCAGCTGCGGCGCGTGGATGTCGACGCGTCGGCGCTCGCGGATCTCGCCGCCGCGGGCGTGCTCGTTCGGGAGGTGCCCTGGATTGTGCCGCCGCATCTGTCGCCGGGCGTGCCCGTCGAGTCCGGCGGATGCTGCGGCCTGTGTGGAAATCAAATCTTCAACCCGACTTCAATGTGCGCGTAATCGAACGGTTTGGACCAGACTCTTCGGCTGTGCTTCGAGAACTCGACGAGAGCAATCGATTCGTCCAAAAATCAGCCGAATCGACCTCGAATTGACCGAGCTAGAGAATTTCAAAGTTTGGTCGGGACGTCCCAAACCAGCGATTGATTTCCACACAGGCTGCGGCGCGCGCGAGTTCATGAAGCTCCACGCCCTCGGTTTGCAAGAGTACGACGCGGTGCTCGTCGTCGACAACGACTTCGCGCCCGCGGGGCCCTGGAGCGACTTCGGCCCCCTCTTCGACTGCGCGGCCGAGGGCCGCCTGCTCACGACGCGCGCGAGCTACTCGGCGGTGAACGGCGCGCTCGTCGCCGCGCCGCCGAGCGCCGCGCTGCTCGCCGAGCTTCTAGGCGCGCTGGCGACGGCAACGGTCGGGGACGACGGCTGGGGCGACGCGCACTCCTGGGGGCCCTTCCGCAAAGCGCGCAGCCGGGTGACGCAGGCGCGCGTCCAGGGCTTCCTCTACTGGTACTACCACCAGCGCGGGGTGGCGACGGCGCTCGACGCGCGCCAGGTCGACGCGTGCGTCTGGAACCTGCAGCGCGGCATCGCGAAGAGGTTGTGCCGGGACGACATCCGCGCGAACCGCACCGTCGGCTTCTCCCACGCGGGCCTCGAGAGTTTTTTAAAGAGCTGTAGGTAAGTGGGGGTCGGGCGTCGACTCCAGGAGGACTTCCGGGAAGGTGGCTTAGCATGGGCGCACGAGCCCAAGACTTGGGGCCCAAGTACAGCTGGGCAGGCCGCCTCGACCCCCGGCGGCGATCGTCTCCCCCAAATTTTTTGTTTCCAAGAATCCGCAACCTTCAATCGCGTCGTCGTCGAGCGGCGTCGAGCAATACTTTCACCCCCCCCCCCGCCTCCTCTATCGTCCCCGCCTCCTGCATCGCCTCCTCCATCGCCTCCTCCAACGCGTCGCGAACCTCGCGTCGACGCATCATCCCGGGGTGACATCCCCTCGCAGGCAGAAACACCGTGCCTCTCACGCCACAAAGCAACCACACACGATGAACAAAGTCATCCTCTTCCTCGCCGCCGTCGGCGTCGCCGCCGCGCTCCCCGCGTGCTCGGGCCCGGACTCGACGTCGTTCAAGCTCGGCAAGGGCGCGAGCAAGCTCAAGTGCGCCGATTTCCTCGCGTCGAAGAAGAAGTGCAACAAGAAGGGCAAGGACCGCGGCGTCAAGATCAAGGCATCTCTCGCCTGTCCGCAGGCCTGCGGCGCCTGCTGCGGCGACTCGGAGGAGTTCTTCTACGGGGCGAAGAAGAAGGGCAAGACGTGCGCGGCGCTCGCGGCGAAGGAGCCGGGCCCCCGCGAGAAGGTGTGCAAGAAGAAGAAGGGCAAGAAGATCGACGTCAAGGCCAAGGAAGCGTGCCCCGCGGCCTGCGGCCGCTGCGTCCCCGACGACGCGGCGCCGACGCCGCGGCCGGCTCCGCGGCCGACCGCGCCGGCGCCGGCCGAGGAGTGCGAGAAGGCCAAGAAAGGGTTCTGCGCCAAGGCGTCGACGCAGAAGTGCGCGAAGAAGAAGTACGCCGACAAGTGCCCGCGGTGCGGCTCCTGCTTCCTCTGCCGCGACGACAAGAAGTGGCGCGCGAAGACCGACGGCCTCTCTTGCAAGCGGCTCGCGAAGAAGGCCGGCAAGCGCAAGGACCCGGCCGCGTACCTCAAGAAGCTCTGCAAGAGCCGCAAGGGCGTCGACGGCGCCAAGATGAAGGTCGCGTGCCCCGCGACGTGCGACGCGCTCGCCGAGACGTGCGACGCTCCGGACGAGACGCCGACCGCGGCGCCGACGGCCGCGGCGGCCAACACGACGAACACGACCGCGCCCGCCGGAGCGGAGGCGAAGGTGTCGACGTCGCTCTTCATGACGGGGCTCTCGGCCTCGGACGTGAACGAGGACGCGGACGTGCGGGCGGCGCTCAAGGCGACGATCATCTCGTTGGGCGGCTACGACGATGTGTCGAACATCGTGGCCGAGAGCACGTCGACCCGGCGGCGGCTCCAGGACACCGCTCTCACCTTAAAAATCAACTTCGTCGCCATCATCTACGCGGACAACGTCGAGGCCGCGGCGGCCCTGGCGGCCGCGGCGACGGCGAAGATCGTCGCGGCCGTGGAGAGCGACGAGTTCCTCCCAGAGCTTAAGGCGCAGGCCGCCGAGGTGTCCGTTTCGGTCACCATCATCTTCGAAGCCGCCGGCGTGGACGAGGAGAAGACGAAAGACGCGTTCGCCGAAGCGACCGTTACGGTGGAGGTCGTGACGGCCAAGCCCACGCCCGAGCCCACGGCCAAGCCCACGGACCTGCCCACGGGCCTGCCCACGGCCAATTCCACGGCCAATTCCACGGCCAATTCCACGGACCTGCCCACGGGCCTGCCCACGGGCCTGCCCACGGGCGACCCGTCGGCCGGGCCCACGGCCGTGCCGACGGGCCTGCCCACGGGCCTTCCCACGGCGGCGCCCAGCGAGGCGCCCACGCTCTCGCCGGGAAACAGCACCAACAGTACCTCGGCTCCCACGACCAGCCCGACGGCCGCCCCCACGGGCGCGCCCACCGCGGCGGGAACCTCGGCTCCCACGACCAGCCCGACGGCCGCCCCCACCGCGGCGGGAACCTCGGCTCCCACGACCAGCCCGACGGCCGCCCCCACGGGCGCGCCCACCGCGGCGGGAACCTCGGCTCCCACGACCAGCCCGACGGCCGCCCCCACGGGCGCGCCCACCGCGGCGGGAACCTCGGCTCCCACGACCAGCCCGACGGCCGCCCCCACCGCGGCGGGAACCTCGGCTCCCACGACCAGCCCGACGGCCGCCCCCACGGGCGCG